CACGTATCGTCCTCAAAGCCAAGGACACTCCTCGTTCTCAAGGCCAATGGCACGCATCGTCTCCGGGACAAGGACATTCATTGTCCATATCACGAACAAAACAAACGCATCACGAACGTCCGCAAGCGTAAGATCCATCAACTAAAGTCAAAGGCACAAGGGCAGGACATTCATCGTCCGCAGAACCAAGGGCGCACAATGTTCTCTGGTCCAGGACCCTCATCGTCCTCAAAGCCATTGATAACAAACTACGAGTGATTTCGCTTCGGCCTGAAGCGCCGAAAGCAATTGTAATGCCTCCTCGGCTGTGCAGGGGTCACACTCATCGTCCTCAAAATGAAGGACACTCTTCGTCCTCAAAATGAAGGACATTCATCGTCCTCAAAATGAAGGGCATTCATCGTCCTCAAAATGAAGGGCATTCATCGTCCTCAAAATGAAGGACATTCATCGTCCTCGAAAGGAAGGATAAAAGGCAGCCAACAACCATGACACCGCCTCACCCTCGAAATGAAGGACGTTCATGATGGCTCAATTATGGAACCCCTCGGTCAGAAACGTCGGAACTCCCAGGTAATCCTCCGAAGGCCAAAAGCATCAAGAATATAAGGATCTACTCCCTTTCACTTCGTTTACATCTCAGCTCAGAGAGTGGGGGATTCCTGATGGAGTATATGGGTCCAGACCATATGGCCATCTCATCTAAGAGGAGCATAGCTGTCACCCAGTGGGTCCTCCATCGGCCAGATGGCACCCCATCGGCCAAAGAAAGGTCAATCCAGAACACGCTCCAGAAGCCAAGGAGAAACCTTGTCCTCCCTCGGTCGTGCCTCCCTCGACCAGATGGCCCTCCATCGGCCGGATAGACATCAACTCAGAATATGGTCCGGGGGCCAGGAGAACCGGAGTGCCTCCCTCGGCCGGGTCTCCGTCAGCCAGGGCTCCTTCGGCCAGACGTTCGTCGGCCACAAAGAGCTCTCACAACTACACTCCTCATGTAATCAGCCCAATAGAGGCCTTATATTGTAATGGGCCTCCCAAGCCCAAGGCTTGGGAGGCCAACCCACTTTTCCCTATAACTACTCCCCTTGGAAGCCATGTAAAGGGTTCACAAATACATTTATTACAGCATTCATTGCACTTCTCTCTCTAGCTCTCACTTCTCTCTAAAGGGTTAATACTCTATCACTGCCCTTTCAATGAATTCCTCTTGATTCCAGAATACTCCTAGAAGCTCCACCCTCTAAAGGCAAGAAAGCGGTCTTCATTCAATATTGCCAACGCATTGGCAAGAAACAGACATCCCTCCAGCAATGTCCATAAACTCATATCCTTCTCAACAACACCCTCTAAGCTTGATATATCTATTCACTCAGCATACGACCGGCGTGATGTTAGAGTATTTGTCTGTAAGTTTTAGGAATTAAACTTCCTTGATTGAATGAGCCATACGACCAGAGTATAAATACAATTTGTACAGATAACTACAAGCTAGTACAGATCCTAAAAATTAGGATCTAGATAACTATGAGCTTATCTACAACTAACTAAGTCTATCCGACTCACTATGTACATCAATCTAATCAGGAAAAATAATGTAACATTTTTCTAATAATGTAACATTTTTCTAATAATGTAACATTTTTCTACACTCCCCCTCAAGTTGGTGAATATATATCATACATTCCCAACTTGCTTATAAGTAGCTCAAATATAGGTCTAAATAACCTTTTGGTGAAGATATCAGCTGTTTGATCTTTAGTGGATACAAATGGTGTGCAAATGATTCCAGCTTCAATCTTCTCCTTAATGAAATGTCTGTCCACTTCAATATGCTTAGTTCTATCATGTAGCACAGGGTTATGAGCAATGCTTATAGTAGCTTTATTATCACAATATAACTTCATAGGCAGCCCACTCTCCATCTTTAGTTCTGTGATTACTCGTTTGATCCAGAGTAACTCACATATTCCATTAGCCATAGCTCTGAATTCTGATTCTGCACTACTTTTAGCAACCACATTTTGTTTCTTACTTCTCCAGGTTACTAGATTTCCCCATACATAGGTGCAGTATCCAGAAGTAGATCTCCTATCAGATATTGAGCCAGCATAATCTGCATCAGTAAAAGCTTCAATTGTCCTATTATTTCCCTTTTTGAAAAACAATCCTTTCCCTGGACAGCTCTTCAGGTATCTCAGAATCCTGTAAGTAGCATCAAGATGTTCTTGGAGAGGATGATGCATAAACTGACTCACCATGCTTACTGCAAATGCAATATCTGGTCTTGTGTGTGCCAGATATATTAATTTTCCTACCAATCTTTGACATTGGTGAATATCAACTGGATTTCCCTCCTTGATATCTCCCAATTTCTGACTTGGGTCAATTGGAGTGTCTGCTGGTTTGCAGACACTCATTCCAGTTTCCTGTAGAAGATCTAGAACATATTTCCTTTGTGAGACAACAATACCCTTCTTTGATCTAGCTATCTCCATTCCTAGGAAAATTTTAAATTTCCTAGGTCTTTAATCTCAAATTCATGAGCAAGTTTGTCTTTCAATCTTTTAGTCTCTGTGTGATAATTTCCTGTGAGGATAATATCATCTACATGACAATTAAGATTGCAATCTCCCCCTTACCTGAAAACTTCATGAATAAAGTATGGTCAGCTTGAGCTTGATTAAATCCTTACATCTTTATGAACTTTGTGAATCTGTCAAACCAGGCTCTTGGAGACTGTTTAAGTCCATATAAAAGCCTTCTCTAATCTGCAAACTTTTAACCCAAACTTATTTTCAAACCCAGGAGGACGTTCCATGTACACTTCTTCTTCAAGTTTCCCATTTAAAAAAGCATTCTTTACATCCAGTTATTGTAATGGCCAGTCTAAATTGGCAGCTAGAGATAAAAGAATTCTTACAGTGTTCAACATTGCAATTGGTGCAAAGGTTTCTTTGTAATCAATTCCATAGGTCTGTGTGTACCCCTTGGCAACTACTCTTGCCTTATACCTCTCCAAACTTCCATCTGCCTTAAACTTGGGGGTGAAAATCCACCAGCAACCAACTGTAGGTTTATTTTTAGGTAACTCTACAAGCTTCCATGTCTGATTCTTTTCAAGAGCCTCCATCTCCTCCAAAACAGCTTTCTTCCACTCAGGTTTAGATAGAGCATCATGTATGGTTGGATGAATAGAAATAGAAGAGATATTGAAAGTAAAGGGTGCAAAGTCTGAGGTCAATTTAGAATAAGAAACATAGTTTGAGATGGGGTATTTAACACATGTTCTTCTCTCTTTTCTGAGAGCAATAGGAAGGTCAAAGTTGCTAAAAGTATTACCTTTTTCACTTCCTGACATTGAGGCAGAATCATGGACAGTTGTAGGTTCTTGGACTTTCTCTATTCTTTGATTTCTAACCCTTCTCTCATAAATTTTTCCAAAGAACTGACTTGTTTGTTGATCCTTTTCAATTGGTTCAGTTGGATTTACTTCATTATTTTTTATTTCTTGATCATTTTCAGGTGTACTGATATTTCTAAAGAAATTATCATCCAGATTAATACCAAGAAAATTAAGATTTTCATGAATATGTGGCATTATTGGAACATCTTCACTTAATTTCTCCCCCTGAAGATGAGAATCAAAAAAAAGGTTGTTCTTCCACAAAAACAGTATCCATAGTAACAACCATTGTTTTGGTTGTAGGATCAAAACATTTATACCCTTTTTGAGTGGCAGAAACACCTAGAAAAACACATTTTTTCCCTCTGGGATCAAACTTACTTGCAGATCTATCTGGATTTTTTATAAACACTGTGCAACCAAATAAAAAAAGGAAAGAAGTGTTGTAACATTTTTTAATAATGTAACATTTTTCTAATAATGTAACATTTTTCTACATTGTCCCACATCGGAAAGCTATAAAACAATAAACCACTATATAAGGCTTTGGTCTACTCCTCCTATCAGGTTGACCTTTTAGGATGGAACCCCAAATCCTAACAAGACCCATAGTGAAAATCACGTCGAAAATTGCATGGACTGACTGCTGCTTCATAACAAAGAAGCGCAGACAATTTAGTGAGTCATTTTGCTTTATTCCATCATATTCCCAAACCAAAACAAATAGCGAGTCTTTGGCTCCATTTCATTACGTAATAAATATTAAATAATAATAATGTTTAAGATATACAGGTTGCTTTCTATATATCCATAATTAAAGTTAACGTACATATATCTCTTATAAAAATAAAATAGAAAAAGCAAAAAATATGTTCGGCGAATCTAGACGCTCTATGCGGCCAATTAGGCGCTCTGCGCGGGCAACTAGGCGCCTTAGGCAACCGTCTAATTCACTAGGCGCCAAAAGAGTTAGTCGGGGCGCCTAAATTAAAATTAGGGCGCCTGGCCACAGCCCACAGTCTAGGCTGGGACGAGTTAAGCGCTTACGAGTTGGGCGTCTAGAGTGATTTTTAGAACAGTGGCACCAAATATCTTAAATCCCTTCTTAGACAAAATGGAGTATCACGTGCTAAAACTCAACAAGAACAAATGGTATCCTACGTCAAAAACAAAACCTTCACATTTCCAAGGAAGGATACTCTTGTAGAAATAGAACCTACATGAGTCCCAACAACACCAAAAACGAAACAAAAAAATAGCAAAATTCATGGAAAGAGAAAAAACATTTTCAAAAAGGAAAGTGGTAAACATGTCATAAAAAGTGGGAACTGGATGGTAGATAGGTTCAAATTAGTCAAGCGTAAATACATGCCTATTATTTGCAAAAATATACTCCTTGTCCCATGAAGGACCAACTTTTCGATTTAGTCATGCACCTGATCATGTTCTTAAACAAAAAGAATCAATCCAAACTAAAATACTGAAATTCCTCCTTATAACAAGTAGAAATATAAAAATAAACGTTCATCACGGTGTGATGTCTTTCCTATTCATGTTTAGATAGATTGAAGAAATTAAAATTAGATTAACTTACAACTTTTTGCGCTTTGCAATATGTGGGGCTACTCTCTTAATATGCTCTTCCCGTTTATCATGCAATAAAGGCCTTAAGTGTTTCACAAGTTTATGACAGTTTAGATGGCAACTGGTGCAAATACCATGCTCAATTTGAAAAAGCCTCTGCAAACAGAAAAGCGTTGCCTCAATTAAATGAAACACTACATTTGCCAGCATCATTGCTTCTGGTCATAGAAAAATGTTTAAGAATCAACACAAGAATTAAACTTTAACCTCACGAATGTATCTACGACTTGTTCGTAATCTGTATTCTTCATGACAGTCCAAACAGCAGAATAAATCCTCAAAGTATTCAGGCACCTTGGCATTGCTTTTCCTGGAATAATTTTGACCATAGGTTTAAATTAAAATTTTCTAAATTTCACTTATTTTAGTAGGGCAATATTGAACTGACTTGCAAGCTGATTGACAAAGCTTGCAAAGAGGTTCATCCTTGTTTGACCACCCCTGTGTAAATACTCTCTCTTTTTTATTGCTTCCACCAAGTCGGACACTCTTCCATGTGGCATTTGAGGGCAACGGATGGCTTATCTCATTCAATGGTGTAGTCCGCTTCTTGCTACGATCTTTCAGCAGTCCCTGTCATGAGTTGCAATGTTAGCAAAGAAGTTGAAAACTTGAAACCAAGTGGCTGAAAGATTCTATGGTCTAATTGTGAGAGGGAGTAAAGTGGAAAGGGGACAAACAATCTAGAAACCCATATTTTATAAAACTGAAATAAAAGTGAAAAAACAAATGTGTGGAAGGTAGAAAGAAAAAAACATGAAATACGCGAAGGTATTCCCCTGCAAGACTAGCTTGCCAAACAGCCTAAGGCTGCCCAACTCTAAAAGAATCTCTTAATGCCTCCCATCCTAAAGAAACTAGAAAGCCATTATTTATAACCTATGACACCATTTAAATAACGAAAAAATATAGTTAATAAGCAATTACTCCCCGTATCAAGCTAATCATGATCTGTTGCTAGAATCTTTCATTTAAATATGTGTCTCATTATGATTCTCTGATTTGCCTTGATTAGTTCTCTGATTTCTTTTCTTCTGTGAAGGTTTTCCTTGATTTCCTCCACCCCTACCATTTGCACCCACTTCAAAATAGCCTTGTCCCCAAGGCTGGACGTCAGACGGTCAGAGATTGCCACAAAAGATCAGAAATCAGCTTTATGCTCTTGCCTCTATCAAATAGCTTGAAGTAGGTTGCTTCATGTTATGTTGGGATAACAATACAAAGCCAAATTTCAAGCCGATAATAGGTTGTAGTTGAGTCTCTATTCCTTCATGCAACCTTTTCTGAAATGTTGGGCTTGTTGTGGAAGTGGAAAAACCATGAAAGATAATCACCTTTTGGAGTTGGTGGTGGTGGTGAGGGTGGTAACCATGACATTTGAGGTGGTGATGAAGATGTGGGTGGTGGAGGTGCTAATGTCAAAGACAGAATAGCAGGTGATGGAGGTGGAGATGCCGGTGTAAAAAATGGAATCAGTGGAGGTGGCGATATTGGTGTTGGTCGTGGAGGTTTCAACAATGAATCTATGAAAGCAATAATTATTATTTCGGCATTAGCAAATTCTACAGTTAAAGTATTGAACTGGCTAAACTATATCAAAACTTGAAAGGCCAGCCAATCATCTTTCAGTATTTGAAGGTATTAAACTAGGGCTTTTCATAGAAAAGGGTTGTAGTAAATCAAAATCGTGTACTGAACACCGGAAATGATGTATTGATACCAATAGAGCTTGATGTACCATTTATGCCCCCCTTGGAAAAGAATTTGATCCTTATATGATGATAATCATGATCTGTTGCTAGAATCTTTCACTTAAGCAAATCTGATTCATTATTATCCTTTGATTAATTCTCTGATTTGCCTTGACTGATTCTCGAATTTCCTTCCTTCCGTGGAGGTTTTCCTTTATTTTGTCTACCTCTACCAAATTGTTTGCAATGCAATAAATAGTTCAGAAGTGTGAAATTATGAGTCTAACCTAATAAAGGACCATGCATGCTGGACAATTACAAGTACCCATACCTCATTATCATAGTTATTGTTCTCAATCAAGCAGAACAACTCTGTACATAATGGGAGTTGTAATGGCTTCCCCATTAATTTCCTTTGTTGTATAGGCCTCAAGCTGTTCCACTCATCAGCGAATGATTTAAGAACATGGTAATATGCCGGGTCATCCTTGATACATTTGTAGACCTTATCCTCACTGTCCACAGGAAAAGACAGCAAATTCAGTTCCTCTTGTCGGAAGTTCTCAAGAAGTGGCCTTGGTCTTGTGTCTCTCCCTGGAATGCAAGAGTATAGATGGATCCTTCCCGTGTAAGGGCTTACCTGAAAAGGGACCCACATCTCAGAAAATATGCCAACAATTTTAAGAGATGGAAGTAATAGAAATTATCACATATGCAGTAAATAGTGCACATTAACTAACTTATTATACCTCAAATCGCAGAGACTTGAGATGGATTGAGCTAATATTATTCAATTGAGTTTTCTTGGCAGATCCGCAATCACTGACCTTTGACAGATCCATGAGATCAACATTTAACTACATGGTCACAATTGCATTTCTATGTTACTTTCAGGCATAAATATGTGAATTGAGCAGACTCGTGTTCCAATTTTTTTTAAAAGATCACACCTCTTGTTCTTGATGGTACACACTGTCCTCTGAATCAGAACTATCAGAACCACACCACGATGCATCAATGTTGGTATTGGTAGTAGCTTGCTTTCCCAGGTTTGGAATAGCAACAACGTCAGAGCGTCAAGAATTAGGGACAAGATTCATTTCATATTAAATTAGCCAGAATTATTACCTCAAGGTTCTTTTCACAAGAAGATGATGGATATGCATAGCTCCCATTCTGCTCTTGATTACCATTAGTCATCATCTTATCTGATTCATTATAGCAGCCATTCTCATTTTCTGCTAGCTGTGAAAGAAGACTTTCACCATTTTCCCTCTCATATGGCTTCTCTTCAATTCCAGCAGTTCTTCCAAGGTAAGAAACAATATCAACCTGTAATGCATCAGGTGTGAAACAAACTAAAACTAAAGTATTATGAAGAACAAATATCATATACCCAGCAGAAATGGGAAACTATTAATATCACACAATGAGATTGAGAACAAAGCACAGGAACAATCATGACACTGCTGCACACAAACGTGAGAGAGTTAGGAAAGAAATCAGTTTCACAGCATTTGAGTAATTTTCCAGCATGCCAGGAGGCATAGAAGTCTCGCATTCTAAGGGTCAAAGGACAAACAATGCAAACTAATTTGTTGGTCTACCTCTATTTCCTGAACTGCATCATACTTCCCATTCATTGCAGATGAAACTCGATGCAAACTTTTGTTCAAGTTCTGCCAACGAACTTCATCCGAGGTATCCTGAGAAAAGAATATTATGACAAAAGTGCAAATTGAATCATAATAAACCCATGCCATGATTTTGTGTAACCCATAGAAAATTTAAATCCCAGCCGTGAGTGATGATTGTGAATCAATATTCAAATATTCAAATGTACATTTCTTTTCAAGCAACTACTCCCTCTGTTTTTCTATTGAGCCCATAAATATTTAACAGAGTAAAATAGTAGGGAGTGGTAAATGGTGTAGATAAATGAAAATAGCAAGAGAGCATAGATGAAAAAGTAGAAAAAGTCATAAATGGATGATGAAAAAACAGAAAAGAACAAAAGAGAAGATGAGACAGTAAGGTGGGATTTCTAAAAGGCTAAAGCCTAAAAGTGGAAATGCAGCAAGTATTAATAAGCTTCCTTAGAAGGAATCCTTCAAATGAGATATGAAGCATTTAAAAAAACTGAGGGAGTACTAAATATATATATTCATATTTAGGAAAATGTTTAGCTCTGAAATGGAGAGCACTCCAAGAGTGATATACAAGGTCCATAATTAACTCATTTTAGTCAATATTCTTTTTTGATGGAATAGGGATTGACATGATATCTCCAGTATGAAGTTTCAGGTGTATCAATGTATGCTGCTGAACTACATTGTACTTTACATGGGATCTATATTCCACGATACATAATTAGTAAACAGAGTCCTATCTTTTCAATTAAATGTCAAGTATTTAATTATAGAAGTGGCACCTTTGCACAAAAGATATATATGTTGACTGCATTCTTTTGCCCTTGTCTATGAGCTCTATCTTCAGCCTACAATCTCAAAATGTATAAAGATCAGGTTAAAGCTCAAGAGTCAAGACTTATGCAAATACTGAAAGCAATTGTGTTTTTTAAATGTGTATAACTAGGGACAATATCCATTTATGAACAATAACTCAACATATTGCAGCAAACATATTAGAAATACTAGTCCTGATGTGTGCATCATTGCATTGCATGATTGAAAAACAGGAAAACGAATAATTATGACTGGAAACACACGCAAGTTATTAAAGGGTGAAGAAAACGGATAAGGATAACTTCTGAAGGAGTTAGGACGTCTGCAAGAGAGTAAACGCAATGTATAATTAGCCATGGACGTGAATATAAAAACATTTTCAATTCCATTAGAACCCTAACAACATTGAAAAGACTGTAGGAGAAAAACTTAGAAGAACAAGGGTTAAATTTTAAAGGCCTTTAAGGAAGTGAGCACAATGTACTTATGTAGAAGTTATTATTGCGCAATGCTGAACAACACCGATGTATACACACACACACACACACACATATACTTATATTATACTCCGTATATATTAAGGCCATAAGAAATTGTATTCATCAACTAAATTATGCACAGAGGTAGTTCAAGGATGGGGGTTCATGTAGTTGCATAGAAAATATGAAGTTGGATCCGTTCAGGAGAAAAGGCAAACAAATACAAACAAGAAACAAAAACAGAACAAAATGTTAAAAGGATTTCTATTCAGATGCTTATGTTTCACTGAAGAAGCATAATAGCTGCACCTGTAGCATGTGTGCAGGTTGCTTTGGCAGTTCCAAAAAGACAACATTTTGAGCTGCTGACAGGTTTAGTCCTGAGCCACCGGCAAGTATTCCAATAATTGCAATCCTAACCTAGAAAAATTGAAAGAGCTACATTTATTTAACAAATATATCAATCACAAGTTAACCCAATATTATTTCCACGGTGATAAGTTAAATTATTAGACAACTATATTATTTCCACAGTGAAGGCGATTGGGAACACCACCTGCATGATGCGTATGCGCATCATTTTTCAGTAATCTATGAAATTTATAAATTGGCAGATTAACTTTCAAAGTTTAAAAATGGGTGAAATTTATAAACTAGTGGACCATTATTAAGTAAAGTTCTTCAGGCGATGTTCGGATTGACTCTGCATCAACTCAATTGATAGCATGATTACAAGAAAGGAATAACAACTGCATGAGACTTAAGAGAAAAGAATTCCTAGGCCAGTGATGGCCCTTATTTAAATTCTGCAGTTGATTCATATAGAACAACAAGAAAATGAAAGAATGTTTAAAACTATCCAGACCTCTTTTGAGTTTTGGAAGGATTGAATGGAAGACTGCCTTTCATAAGCGGGTGTATGCCCATCAATACGAACATAGCTTATTCCTCTCTCAGAAACAAATTCCTGTACAATTTCAGTGGGTTCAGTTTAAATGAAGAGAACTCGCTCTTAGCTCCAACGCAATACATTTTGGGAAAAGAAGTTTATAGTTGCATGAATGCATTGAGAAAAGTCAGGAAGGGTTTACCTGCACTCCATCAAGAACCTTATGATGGTGAGCAAATATTATCATCTTAAGAGAACAACAACTTGCACTAACTGTTTCCGCACCATCCATTTCTGCAATGACTGGATGTATGGAGAGCCATTCACGGAATCCTGACAGCTTTGCAATGCCAAGTGCCTGATCAGACAACTTTAAGGAACATTTTTTATCATCACTGTTGTCTGCAAGGGTTTGTAAATTAGTATTCATACCATAATGCATCATATTCTGAGTTCCATTCAAGAAAAAAGTAGAAAGTTTCACTGACAACTGTTTAAAGGAATAATGACATACATGTTAGTGAATGGACTGAAACACCCTTCATATAAATAGATAGAACTAACCTAGTCTCCCTCTCCTTATCGGTCATTCTCTCTTCCCAACGCCGTGATCTACCTTCCACAGCTGGTCACTTCCAGCGCGGCCCATCGCACCAGCAAATCCACCGCGGCAATTTGCACCAGCACCTTCAATGTTGACACACCTCCATGACCTCAACCATTCAACCGCCGCAATAAGCTTCTACATTGATCAGTCGGTCAGTCTTTACTTCTCGCTGAATTTCTGCATCGGTGGCGGCTGTGAGTTCAACATTGGCAGCGTTGAACTCAATCGGAGATGAGGTTCACCGATCCGGCGGATTTCAACTGATCTGGCAGCCATCAATGATCAGGGTGGCGACAGTAGGGCAACGACTGGGATTTCACGGTGGGCCGAGTTACGGAGCAGCGGCTACGATTTCTGGTGTGGCGGATTGGGAGCAGAGCTTAAGGCAGAGGGTGGGGAAGGGGGACGCGGGGAAGGGGTTGGGGGTGAGGGGCAGTGGTGGGGGCGGCAAGTCACTGGATGGCATCAGATGGGTCACTGAGGATAGGCCACTCAGGATAGGTACGGGGATTAGGGACGCGACATTGCAGTGTAGGAGCGAGTCACTGGGGTGGTGGGGTAGTTGTGAAGTGACACGGTGATCAAGTCAGTATGGGTAGTGGGGGAGGTGGGTAGGTCACTGGCTGGCGGTGGTCATTGGCCAGCGATTGTCACTAGCCAGAGGTGGTCACTATGGCCAGCGGAGGTCAATGACCATCAGTGGTCAATGGTCATTGTGGTAGGCAGTGGTCACTGTGACCGACGATAGTCACTATGGACAAAAGTGGCCACAGAGTATTAGGTGTGGTAATTAAGTAAAATGCATTTAGGAGTTCCCAAATTAGGTGTGGTCACTGTGACCGACAGTAGTGCTTATTTAGTCCAATTTTTGGAAACTAAAAAAGTCTTCTTTTTTTCCAAAACCTACTTCTTCCACTAACCTTTTCGGGGTGTCCCAAAAAAATCTTCCGATTTCCCTTTATGGAATGATTTGTGTGGCTAGTATTCATTTATCTTTTTCTTACTTAACAACAACGATACATTTCCACTTTATTGCCACTTTCTTAAGTGGCGTGCGGTGTGCCAAGTCAAACTGAGAAGAACTTTTTGGGATGGAGGGAGTAATATTCTTTTTAAAAAACTGTTTAGATCCTTTCATTTGTCTACTTGTACATATTTGTGATACAAACCAAGAAAAGAGTTTGGGGTCTTTCCTTTCATCCAGAAGGCCTAGCCACATGTGCACGATCGAACTAGCTCTAAATTCTTATATTCGGGAAGAACGGATCAAAGAATTGGACCAAGTCGAAGAGCAGACAAGCATGCTCAATGATGATACTCATATTACATAACGATGTACAACTGCGCCTGAAGAAGAGGAAATGAATGAAGGTAAGACTGTCCAAAAATGGTTTCTGGCCCAAAATTCATTAAAAGAAGCTCATGTTATAGTCTTGACCAAACCTATAGTCCTATTCGGCTATTCACACTATGTTTATTTTATTTACTTTTTGTTGCCAAATCAAAGACTTACTTAACATTCAGGTCTCTATATTAGATTATTAGTTAAAGACTGCGTTTGCATGAAGCATGCCACGTGTCCCTATAGTACTCTTAGTTTCAGCTTTACTTATTGAATACTTAGGCTTTGTTTGCAAACACTACTCACAAGTGCTTTTGAACTTTTTAAAGTGATTTGGGAAAAAGTGCTTAATAGTAAAAGTTGGTAGTGTTTGAGAAAAAAGTGATTTTGAAAAGTAAAAGTTGGTAGCATTTGGTAAAATAAGTGCTTTTTGTATAATAGTAAAAGTCAAAAGCAGAATCTAGCTTTTAGCTTTTAAGTATTAATTTAAGTAGAAGTTGTCACTTGAAAACACTCTTTTTAGCTTTTTTAAGCCAAAAGCTGGGAAGCGCTTTTATTTTAGTGTTTGCAAACAAAGCCTTACACCATAATATGTGTTTCTTTCAAAAGTGTTTTGATACTCTGAAGAATAATGTGGAAGTCAATTCGTTGCTCAAGAATCAAGATTTCCATCATAGGTCATGAGCAATTGGTTAAAGCACTAGCATGTCTGTCCTAACAGCAGCAATCCAAAGGAGGTGTACTCAAGTGGTTGAGGAGCATGAGGTATGAATGTGAGATTTCACCTTTATGGTCAGTATAAGGGGATCCATACCCCCTGTTATGTAGCCCACATCCCATTGGACATTTGGACCCTTGGGTTGGTGAGGAATCCCCTCTTCCAAGGCCCATTTATTAAAAAAGCACAACAGTTCGCAAAATCCATGAGCTACGACAAAGGCTCCCACCTACGGTGGGGTAAGGGGGGGTCGGATGTACGCAGTCTTACCCCTGTACTAAAGCACAGAGAGACTGTTTCCGGATGACCCATAGATGAAGTTAATGAATGAAAAGAAAAATAACTGTAACCTTATTGAAAAAATCAAACTGAATAGGGGAGATATAAGTAAAGAAAGATTTTAATTAAGCACAAATATACTCCAGAGATGAACACAAAAGACTTGGGAATTCAATGCCTTCACCTTCATCAGGGAGGTGCACTACACTATGATGAGCATCAGTTCCATTGCCATCATGTTGTGAGGCATTCCCGTCTGATGCTTCAGTAGAAGCCAGTGCGTAGGCAATATCTGATTTCTTTAACACCAACCTTACGATTTGGCGACGTTTGGGAGGCAACTGAACTAAAACATGCTCCTTCAAACGTCGTATCTGCAACATATAAATGAAAAAGAGAAAGAAAGCAGTGTTTTTAGCACAGTAACAAAAGCAAATGAAAACAAACACAGTTTAAAAAATGTGATTCAGTGATTGTTATAATGTTATTACAATGTCCTTGGTTTATTCCCTATCAATACAACTTTAATTATTAAAAGAAGGTGAGGAAAACACGAAAACCTTTGAGAGAGTGAGATAATAATGGGGAGGAAGTTTCTAGCACAGTAGGATTAAGTTAATATTACATGTCTAAAATGAAAGAGCAATACTCTCTCTGCCCCATTACATAAGTCCTACTTTCCTTTTTGGGTTGTCCCACAAATATTTTAACTTTCCTCTTATAAAGTCAACCCGCCTTTTAGAGTTTACAATTGGAATGTTGATGACAGTTTCTTTAAATACCAGCACAAAAAATGGGATTACCAAGCAAGTTAGGGCAGATGGACTGATGGAGTGTGTGATTTTGCATTTATCGGTACTACTGGTTATGTGAAGTTTTGACTAATTGGATTGAGATAAAAGACCGAAAAAGGAGGTTTTCAGTTTCAGATGTGAAGAAAATACAAATAGTGTTTAATGAATTAGAAATGTGCAGAAAGAAAAGTATCAATAACTCAAACTTTGAAGATTATAAAGCAAAAGCCCACCATAACAGTTTGCTTAAGCAACATATGTAATTCTTCCAAACGAATCCCCTTTGAGAAATCCTACAATGAAGAAAATACCATATCAATTTATCAACTTAAGGATGGAAGAAAATCACATCCCCAGGAAACTAGTACATTAATAAATCAGCAAACGGAAAGACCAATAAATTAAAGATCAAAATCCCCATTATGATGCCATGTGCCCATGTCAGTCATACAGAACAACTACAAATCAATTGAAAAGAAACTCAATGACAAATGTAGCATTTTGTACTAATGAGATACGGCTGAAGTACTCCAAAACTTACATAGAAAGCCTTCCCTTGGCAACCTTGAACAAGTTTGACTGAGCAGTAAGTCTTTGCAAAGTCATATTTAGTCTTTCCAAGTAAACCTGGCCTAGAATAAGAATGTGATGTGAAAAGAAATGAGTGTGGATAAAGAGTCATAATTTACAATAGATAAATGTATTTATGTATCAGAAAACAGAAAGTTACCATAGCATATTTATCTGATGAAATATGTCATAAGGCCTATAAGCACCTAGGAAAACATTCAACATGAACATAAGAATTGGATGTAAATTAAAAGTAAAATATTGACACTATATCCAATAAATGATATTGAGTAAGAAGATGGAAATAAGACAGCTTGAGTTTTCAGCAACCAGAGCTAAAATAGAACTATTAAAAACTCTGACAACCTTGACAAAGAAGGAGTCCCAGATAATAGAATTACACGCTTGATATTCATTGAGACATCAAGAACAGCTCTTATCTGCAAAATTTAAGAAAATTAAATGTTACACTAGAGAAAACATGCATGGTAATGGGATGTTAAACTGAATAATAATTTCAGAGCATGACAAAAACAATTGAAAGTCCAAATTGAAATAAATAATCAACGTAATACTACCTCCTTCCCCCTAAGATTGGTATAAGAGGAGGTGGTGCAGTTATCAAGAAAGTGAGTTTACGTGGTTGATATTGAATTCATAAAGTGAGAATAAAATAAGAATGATTTAGAACCACACAAACATTATCAAGTTTAGTATGAGACAATCGTAGTGGGGCGAACCAAATAGGACAGATGGGGTAATCTTAACGGGACAGAGAGCGTAGCTGTTAATCAAGAATACTGAGCCTTGCGATTTCAATTTATTCCGCTCAATATCCGTTTTAGATTTTGAGAATGCAACATACTCAAAATTCAGTATTGCTGATTGTGGAATGGTGTTGATGAATGGAAAAGATTATTTCCGGTGTTCCCAATTGCTAGCTCCTACTAATACAACCTCTGTCCCATAATGTAAGACGCATTTGAATTTGGCAAGAGTATTAAGAAAATAAAGGATAAAGTGATTGTTTACAATTCTAACCTCCAAAACGTAAGAAAAAGTAGGACAAGTCTACAAAATGTAAAAGATGAAATGATAGATAAAAGGATAAAGTGGGAAAGTAAAAATTTACTGGAGTTTAATTTAAAAAAGTGTTCATATTTTTGGGAAACCCCAAAAAGGAAAGTGTATCTTACAAAATGGGATAGGGGGGAGTATACGCCAAGCTTGCAATGCCTTTCTCGGTTGCAATACTCCTTAAAAACCAAGAGGCCCACTTTTCTTTTTAGTGCGCTATGGCCAAATTTCCCTTTCCTTATTCACGCGATGACAACTTATTACCTTAAATTTCAGATTTGCTCAATTGAGCTTTAAAGTTGGTCTGGATGAATTATTCCCATAATGTAAAAATAAGGTTCTGATCATGCTCCATATTGCGCATGTTGATTTTACACCATCAACATGAATGGAAGGGAAAGGAAGAGAAGAGAAAAGAAATGAATGGAAAACTGACGCCAACGCATTGCTTTGGTTTGGTAGAGTAAAACTAAAAAAGGAATGGCACAAATCCTAGTGCTCTTAATTTCCACTCTCAACTGAAGAACAATGAAAGGGAATGCTATTTAACTACCATTTTAACCTTGTCCCTAATGATAATGTAACTGAAGATAACAATGTAGTTTTATAGCAACAAACCACTTTAAGTCAGATATTTCCTACGTATTCTGACATTAACTCTCTTCAACCAAACAATTTTTTTCCCTATATTCATAAATATATCTCTTTTTTATCTCACCTACTTGCTCCCTCTCCATCTATTTCTTCTCTTCACCCAGAAACATCAATAATGAGACATGACTATAGAAAATGTTTCAACGTATCAACATCCCATGATATTTTCCAAGCATCTAAAAACCCTATGATTATGACGCTTTTGAAACTTCATCTCATAACTACTTCATAAGATGGTTGTGATATGAAAGGAATCCAACATAAAACTTTGCTATGGTACTTTCTTGTACAACTATACTTAAACGATGTTATAATGTTCACTAGTTTCAGATAATTAGCTGACAGGATAAAGTTCATGTATCTGACCTCATATAATTGGTAATAAAGTAATAATGTTGATGAAGGTAAATAAAATTGAGATTTGTGGGCCCCTCCCATATCTATAGCTAAACATTTCACATGCCATTTGAATTGTTAATTCCAGGGTTATGGCCTGTTTACTTTATTGCTGAACATGTAGTTATGTTTTGACATACTAATGATAATATAGCAACTCTCCCAACTCATTGGTGTTTCATTATATTTTAAATGCAAGTAAAGTAAAAACACATTACATTATTATGGTTTTTGGAACTTCGCCTCATTTTTCCTTCGCAAGAAGGTTTAGGCGTGAAAAGCATCCTGCGTAAAACTTTGCCTCTGTTTACACTTGCATGATTTTATACTGTTCACAATTATTAAACATTTAGTTGACACTATTACTTTCACGTCACTGCTTCAATACAGTTTGGTTTGGAGTGAACCTGTGAATGTGATGATAAAGGTAACAGTTGAAATTGATACACTACGCGCCTTTTTCTGTTCTTTTAATTCAAGACGTGGGACATCTTTATTTTTCTGTTAAACATGTAGTTAAGTTATTAATGCAAGTGGAGTAAGCATATTATATGGGTAAAGGTTACTTATTACCTGTATTGACGTCTTAAAGTGTGCCTTAGTAACCTAGGTCCATGCACCATCTAAACTTTAGATGTTCTTAAGCTATATTATAATTACTAGTTACTACATCCAAGATATTAATTTCCGCCGCCACCCAAACTTATACAGCCTATGTCAGCCCCTCCTGCAACTACCAACACACCACTGTCGGCGGAAATCTGCCGCAATCGTCATAAATTGCCACAAAAATGATATCATCGGCTGCCAAACCTCCACCTTCTGCCGGTACGAAAACCTCCTTTGTCACCAGCCCGATTTTCTCCTCCACCAATTAGACCACAGACTATCATCCATCGAGCCGCACGTGTTGTAAATCGTTCAGACCAGCGACACTGGTAGGAGGAGCTGTCAGACCACATCATTGGTCATCAGAGCACCTTCTTCGGTGCTTGCCAGATGACCTATGTCACCACTGTTTAGACATCTGTTGTCACTTGTCGTTGACTCCACTAACATTTCAATCATCATTTAATTTCTGTTGCAACTGGTTGCCAGACCTCCATTAACTAGAGTCAAGAAACTCTAGCAACCAGTTCAAGTAGCAACACTAGATGAACTTTATTCCAGGAATACAGGAAAATATGTCATTCTCAACTGAAGACATGTTATAGTCCTTACGAAATAAATGTAGTGTTGTGTTAACAACCCTACTATGACGTTGATTAAATAATTGTTTATGAAGCAATACACATTAAGCATAAGCTTATTAACATGAAGCTTGATAAGCAATGTTTAATAACTCATGAAGTAAAAATGTCCTGAGCTTGTTGTCCGTAATTGATTCTTTGTTAAGAGTTCGCATAATCTATCAAACTAGTTTGTAGTGGAAGCTTAATTGTAGCATCGCAATCTCATTAGTATGCCTTGGCGAGTTGGTAGAAGCACACTGCAGGTTTGTAGAGGAAGGTATTTTCTCCCTTCTGATAAGTGAAAGCTATAGGGAGACATACCTAAGGTGTTGGGTGACTTGGGTCCTAAGTTAAAGTGTAAGGGTAACAATCATTGAGGTACGAATTTTTTCCAGAGGATAAAGAGGCTACAATTCAACCATACCTCAAAATACAACTCTGTGCTAACATTTTTAAATACATCACATACAGTTTACAGATTTGGCTCCTCTGTTGGTAACATGGTAAGCTTATATTAGCAACAAATCAATCAAATTCATAAGAAACATTTCTTGAAGAAATTAACTTATAGAGCCGGTTCAAAAAATAATACATTGAATACAGTTACAGAACACAACCATTGAAAAAAATTGATAAGAGAATACATTAGTAATTATCAATTCTCTATATGTTGAGCCTACTATTAGTTCATGAAAGATGGTCTTATTACCTCTTCGGATTCATGCTTTTTCTTTGAACAACGAAGATGATGTGATTCATCAATGATTATGATACCCCATTTATGCTCTAAAATGCTCCTTCTTAAGCGCTTTAGCATTGTATATGAGATGACCACAAATCTTGGGAATCTGCTTAAATGTGAGGGGTTGTCTCGGTGACCAAAAACTGAAACAGAAAGACCAAATCAGTAGCATAAGAGATACACTTAATGCATGTTGCAAAATTGTGTTTTAATTGAATGCCCAGAACATTATCAACTGTGCAGTTGAAAGCACCAACAACTTAATGGAGGTTATAATGTATAAATGTGAGTATGTAACATAACTACTTTGTTTATATGTCAGTTATAGTGCTAGCAGTCTTAAAGATACATATCACTAGTTTTAAATCTCAAGGGGTATAACCTATTAAATGAACTGGTTCAAGAAGACATATTTCGTGGAACTGTTGAAGACAGAAAAAAAGCCTAGCATACTGGACTAACAAAGTTCACATGAATGTTGTTGTCAAAGAGCAAGGAATAAGTTTAACAAAGATAAGTAAGATTTATATCCATAAATCGCTCAACATTATAACTTATTGGTATTTTAATTTTCTAAATCTCCAACTTTTGCTCACGTCTAGGTCTTTAAGCTCACTGCAGACCCAATCACCCAAAAGAACGAGAATGGCCTAAAAACAAAAAGAAGTTGGGAATAAACCTTGCTCACCACATCTACACTAAGAAGCATATACGAATGGTGCGGTTAATCCTAATTCATCCAGAGCTCTGTCCAACTACCCCCTAGCCCTTCATGTCACCACAGTCCTCTTATACATTCCAAATGAATCACTACAGAATACATAAATGTAAAGTCGCCTTTTATAGTCATAAGTATAGGGGTAAGATTATGCCTTATAGGAGTGGGAAATTGAGGAAAAGTCGAAATGGAATTAACAAAGGCAGAGGTAAACACCCTGCTGCAAAACGGATTCGGCCAGTACAACACTAAGTATTCGAGACCATGAAGATGGACAATGCTTTTATTAGAACGCAAAGTAGACCAGAAGGACACGTGTGGACTCACATTGTGGCATGCCATTTCATCTGAACTAGGCTGTTTTTTTCACCCAAGAATAACTAGCAAACACATTGAACACTTTATACACTGAAATTGCGCCCAATATTATGACCTTCAACATTCTCCAACCCCAGAGCACATCCCAGGCAAAAACATATACAAATATATAAAAAAGTATGCTTTAAATGATACCAAGATGGATATCAGAAGGCAAACAAGAAATCCAATGCTCCAATTCTTCTGCCCATGAGTATCTCAAAATAGCTGGGCAAACAATGAGAGTTGGTCCTTCATTCATGAAACAACTTGCAATGGCAATGGCCTGAAAATGGAAACAAAGTGTCCATTGATGGCACACTCCCTCCAAAAGATTCTATATACATGGGCTATAGATTTTAAAGATCAACTATAATTCCAGTATTCCACAACAAACATCCTACTATTACGTCGCTTAAATGAGTCCCAATCATGAAACCTTAATACCTTTACCACAGTTGAGTGTGAATAAACTTCAATATTCATGTATAATCTAAACAAATAAGTCATAGAGTATTGACAATTTTAAAATTAAGAGTTTCTAATACAATCTACAAACTTTAAAATCAAATATGCAACTAAAATGTCATTCAAATTTCTCTAACTATAAAAAATGGATTATATTTTCATAATTTCATTGTTACCTGGAGGGTTTTGCCCAGCCCCATCTCATCAGCGATGAGACATCTACCGCCCCTCCTCAGCCCGAACCTTAGGCCCTCTAACTGAAATGGCAGCAGAGTGTCCAACAATGTTTTAGGAAGTCCGCTAATCAACTCATTGACCTTCTCATCCGCTAGATGCTCTGGCCTGCAAGGTGTCCATCTCCCAGGATTATCAGAATGTGAAAGTCTTTCAACTACATTGAGTGTTCCCCAAGGTATTTCTTCACACTCAACATCTTTACAACCCTTAATGGACCTTACCACTGCTTCATAATCTGTAAGCTTATACACGCAACCCGTTCCACCTCCGGTACTCTGAGTGTAGTGTGACGGAACAACCTAAGACAAAATCAGCAGACCTGAATCCTTTAAGATTTCAATAACTTCAAACAAGAGCAAAGTAGAAAACTATTACAGGAACTGGTTGTCAATACTCATAGACCAGGGAAATCTAGTGATATATGGAGTATATGATGTTCTTATGTTCCGAAAAACGTTATAGTGGTTATTTGGCACTGGAATTGCATTATTTAGCTTCCAAGCCTATAAAAATGAGCCTTTTATGGGATTAATTACAAACAGTTTAACACAAACATTCTTAACATCCTTCTTATATGTTGAGGACTGCGCTACACCGCTACTTGCACCCAATTCTTGATTGTGGATTTCTGGTATAGATTTTCTTGATTAATTTGTTGAATAATTGACCAATCCACAAGAGGCTAACATTAAGAGTTATGACACTTAACCTAGCATGTGAAATTGCAGATAATTATGACTACATAATATCCTATTTTTTCAGATTGTGAGGTCAGAGTTGGTACAGAGATCGTGACATCATGTAGTTGAATTATGAGGAAGAGCAATATCAGAGCAACCATCATAAAAATTAAGCCAACGTTTTGTACTATGAAGAATGGGCAAATCCCCAACAATTAATAGGCAATCCTTGAACATCGTGATTTTTTATTCAGAACTGTCTTCTCTCTAGTCAAGATTATTAAGAAAACATTGCAAAAATGTAAATTCAATTTTCTTCATGCAGAACAACATAAGAAAGGGGCGCAATAAATCGATTGTTACATATGAGAGCAATTCCGTAAGCTTCTCGAAACATGTTTCTTGGCCGGGGTAAGGAACACCCTCTAATGGCAGAGGAGTGACAGAGAACGAGTCGGGAGCGCAAATTTCAAGCCTTGCCCGGAATCTGTCGAGGGCGGGAGACGACGAGTCGGGCTTCGGAAGCGGGTTGGAAGCAGAAGCTGGATCGGGCTTGTAAAGAATGACATTAGATGGAGTGGATTTGGACGAACGTTTTGGACATTTCAGAAGCTTCCAAGCTTCTTGATTGGTTTTGCGCTTAGCCAAGGCTGATAGCCGGTTTGCTTCTGCCCGTTTTCTCTGCTCCTCCGTGATTTCCTCTTCATTCCCGATTTCCATTTTTATTGGCAAAACAGAGAATTACAGAGAGAGGGAACTATAGCACTAGTTTTTGAAAGGAGTCAGGCGGGGAGGCAGTAGTTAGTATACTGCCGTTCCTATTATAACTTAAACTAATATAATTAAGATAATAATACATATAAAATGTACTTATAATCAATTAACTCCTTTTTCGAACTATCAAAATCATCAGTCAATTTTGATACACCAAATACATAGCTTTCAAGTTGACAATGTTAATTACTACTCAGTAGTAAAAACGTAAACGTAAAATAAGTAAGGTTGAAGTTATTTTTCTATCTCATTTGATAAGATAGGAGTTACATTTTTATATAATTTGTTGAATATCACTATTTTAGATATGCTTCCACGACATGTTTTTTTTTCTTAATAAAATATTTTAAATATTTTTTTATAATTCGACAGACTTTGACAGTTTAGTCGTTTCAATGAAAATTTCACCAATGTCCGTCATTCAGACAATTTTGTGTTATCAATAGGGTCTTTAAGGTAAATGTGATTGAAATGTAAACAAATGTAGTGTTTCTTAAAACCTTGATTTTAAATTTATACTCTCTTCGTTCTTTATTAACTGTCTCGCATTCCTTTTTGGGATGTTTTTTATTATTTCTCTCTTTCTATTTTAGAAATGTTTTTGATAAAATACCTCCACTTTTATTACTTTCACCCCTCTTACTTTTTACAAACTACTTTATCTTTTCTACTTTATCATAACTTTACTTTACTTAATATACTATCTTTCTTACTTTATCATCACTTTATCACCACTTTACTCTTTTTAATATACTCCCTTTCCTACTTTATCATTTACCCTACACACTCTACATTTACCCTACTATTTTTCTATTAAAACCCGTGCCCAAGGCTAGCGGGACAGATAATAAAGAACGGAGGGAGTATCATTTACAAAAAAAATAAAATTTTGTAATATTTGTTCTTGGTCTTTGAAAGTTAGCAAAGGAGTGGGTAGCCTAAGTACAAATAATAAGTTTTAAAACTGTTTAGCTCAGAGAATTGTTTAAAAGAACAAAAAATAAAAAATTGAAAAAGTAAACTAAAAAAGTAATACTCCGTAATATCTAAGGACTGCACAAAACAAACACTATGGTGAAACGAACAACGAATATAGAAAATGAAAAAGCAAAATAAAAAAAAACAATAATATAATATCTAAGGATTGCACAAACAAAAACTTTGGGTAGGCTAAGAATTGTTTGAACTCAATCCAAACCATGATATTAATTACATTAATGGATGAATGTTCTCCGTTTTGTGAGTGATTTGGATACAATATCTTATTGGCAATGGTTTTTTAACACATGATTGAATTATATCCATCAAAGCAATATAAATACATATGTATTTGATATTTTTTATAAATTAACTATTATGTTGGTCCTTGCACTTTATTTGATGTGCAGACAAGGAAAAAATTCATGCTCCAAAACGAAGTTTGACAAATGGGAATGAAAAGCATAATTTCGCTCACAGAGAAGATAGTACCACAAAGATAAGAAAACTTGACTCTGGAAAAATTTACTTAAATGGTACGACACAAAGCAATTCTAATCATATCGGTGGAAAATTTCACCTATATGAACTCGCGGATGTAACTAATGGTATGTTATTTATAATAAAGATTTATGGAGCCTAAATTTAGATGCATGTACTTATCTTTGAACTTTATGTTATATATACTTTACTATCTATATGACATCACATTTCAATCAAATCAATTGCATTTTGAATTCTTTACCCTGCTATTATTCCTAATTTTTTAAAATTAAAGTATATAGAACAAAGATGAAGTTCTATTCCAAGATGGTTAAGTCAAGATGAGAGGCAAGATTCGTCTATAATAATCAACACTTATTCTGGAGTGAAGAAACTTGGAACATGAAAACACTTTTTAAGAAGTGTGTCACAAGAAAATTATTAGCATAGCAACGAAAAATTGCATTTACAGAAATTTCATGTCCGTAATACTACTAAAGGTATGTTTCCCCTAATAATGCATTTAATGGAATATAGAAAATGCTTATTTGTAATGATATCATTCACTTATTGTTATATCTTCTATTTATACAACAAATATTATACTCTGTATATATATGATTATTATTAGTACTTTACCTTTGTTGGTGCTATGCTATTATTATTACTTCTACTATTATGAATGTACATGCCACTAAAATTTTCTATGAATGTGATCCAAAGAAAATGATAGTAACAACACTACATCATGGCCACTTTCACCTTTCAGCAGTGATAACATGTCCTGTAGAATTCCACTCCATGAGATAGCAAACAGTTCGCACTATAACACTTTAATTTACAACTTTGAAAATATTTTATCAATACGATCAATGATTACATGGCTTATTTTATAACATTTACAGGGATCACTTTGCATCAAAAAGGAAAAAACCAATAACCAAGAAAACCCAAATGTAACATCGGTGTCCAATGATCGTGTAAAAATGGTGAAGCTTGGTGTTGGGAATCTTATTTTGAGAGGTATGATATAAATGGTGAAGCTTGGTGTTGGGAAGTTTATTTTGGGAAGGACCGCTTGATAGGAACTCCTGTCTGGCCAATGCCATTTCAGGCTTTTCGTGAAATTTTTTGATAAATTTTTTATCATGTTTTTCATGAAATTTAGTTTATTCACACAAAACTTCATATTAAAATTCGATCAGAAAGTCAATTAAATAAATTTGTGAAACATATTGCGCTTTATATATACATAAAGCACATTATATTTAAAATTTTATTGAACTGACTTCCAGATTTAATTTAAGATAATCCACACTTGATGAAAAATATGCTCATAAAATTTTATAAAAAAGTTCAACCGAGAAAAGCCCCAAATGCTCTTGGTCGGAAGGTGATTTCTGTGTGGACCGTCTCAGAAGATTATTTCTCAAGATCATAATCAAAGCGAAGCTTATCATATGGGATGAAGCTCCAATGACACACAAACATTGTTTTGAAGCTGTAGACAAGACACTAAAAGATTTACTTAGATTTCACAATCCCGATAGCTTGAAACTTCCGTTTGGAAGGAAACCTATCGTTTTTTGTGGTGATTTCAGGAAAATACTCCCAATCATACCAAAGGCATCTAGGCAAGAGGTTGTTCGTGATACTATTTGTTGGTCCAAAATAGGACGCTCGTAGGCTTTTAGGAAAGCTACGTACGACACTCAAGCAGGAAATGAGGAAAATACTACAAATAAGGAAAGAAGCTAAAAGTGTTTAGTTGCCAGAAATAGCATATCTCATTTGAAATCTGGACTTGCCTTTTATAGGTGATTTACAAATACTAACTGTCAAAGATACTAATGGCTAATTAATTACAACATTAATACAGAATTAAACACATAATTAATATCGCATTGATTGTTGGCCGTTACTCTTCCTGTCTGGCTGCCAAGTCGGCCTGGCTAGCAGGCAGAACGCTTGAGCTCCTCGGGCGGCAGGCTTCTGGTTGGGCCGGTAGGCAGGCTCCCCGTTGGGCTGAAAGGCAGGCTCTCCGCTGGGCTGGAGGACAAGCTCCTCGCTAGTCCGAAAGGCAGGGTCCCGGATGGGATGGTAGGCAGGCTCTCCGCTGGGCTGGAGGACAGGCTCCTCGCTAGTCCGAAAGGCAGGCTCCCGGGTGGGCCTGTAGGCAGGCTCTCCGCTGGGCTGGAAGGCAAGCTCTCCGCTGGCCGGGCTGGAAGGCAGGCTCCCCGCTGGGCTGGTCGACAGGCTCTCTTGGGCTTCCGCTCCTTGATTGGCTTGATCGGTTGGGCCGACTCGAGCTCTGGGTTGCTGGGCTTGGGCCTGCTGGTCTAAGTTCGGGGCCTGGGCCGGTTAGGCTTTGGGCCTAGTCCCATAACCCCATCACGAGTCCCCCACTCCCTTAGTCGAGTAGTAGAATCGGCTAAGAGGGAGTAGTTCAAGTCAGCTGCCAAGTAAAAGATATTCACATATCAGGGAGCCATAATTGTGGATTCTGTCAATCTCACAATTTATGGAGATTTCCAAATTTTGAATAAGACACCCAGCTTTAAAAGGCTCCAAATTAATTCCTTAGCGTTCTAGCATTTCAGCAGCAAGCTTTCTCCCAGGCTTCAGAATTCAGGTCAGCTTCAAAAAATCCCTGAAATTCATTATTATTATTTTATAAATTATTTCCGGACTTTATTTTATTTTTCCTTCCTTTTCTTTTCTTTCCTTTTCTTTTCTTTCCTTCCTTTTTCTTTCCTTCTTTTTTCTTTCCTTTTCTTTTATTTCCTTTCTTCTCTTTCCTCTCTCTCCTGCGACCTGCACGCGTCTTCCTCGCGTCGCCCTAGCCCCGCAGTCAACCAGGGTTGACTGCCATTTTTCTCCCGGTGGCTCCTGGGTCGACCTCTGTTGCGCTCAATCGATGCCTCGCACCATCACCGGCGACCGGCGTCTCACCTGCAGTCCAGCGGTTCTGGCCGGCGGGTCTGGACCCCCATGTCCGGCCGACCCAACCACCTCAGTCGGCGGTCTTCCACTCATGGTCAGCGTCAGGACTGGTAGCCCGGCGACCCCAGCGTCTCCCCTGCAGTCCAACGGATCTGGCCGACGGGTCTGGATCCCCCTGTCCGGCCGACCCAATCTCCTCAGTCGGCGGTCGTTCCACTCTCGGTCAGCGTCACAAGGGGACTGGTATCCCGGCGACCCCCAAGTCAGGTGGCACCCTTCTCTCAGGCGGCCAGGCTGTTTGCAGTCGTGATTCCTCCGCCGGACGGCATCCTCTAGGCTGCCTTCCCTGACGGCCGACTTCACCCAGATTTTTGAGCTGGCCGTGGCATCCCGTGCTGGTCGGTGGCTCCCTAGGGCGGCAGCACGCTGTTTGACGTCCAATGCCTAGCAATTGGCTATTGGCCTCCACCTAGGTCGGACGTCCACTCCATAGGGTTGGCGGCAGGCCGAAACTCAGCTGTCCTCCGTTGCACGGCAGATGCGAGGGCCTCCCATTGATGGTGACTGTCTTCCTGCTGGCTGGCTGAGCCCATCATCATTCTCGACCCTTCGTATTTTCATCT